TCACCATTTTACATGATTTACCATAAACATCATCATTGAGAAATACAATAACTAATTATTTTTGCGGTAAAAAATGTTTCATTTTCAACTAACACATTTATACATTGGAAATAATTGAAAAATGACAGAAGTATTGATTATTATCGTAAAAAATGTTTGCATTTCTTGATCTCTCTATATTTTGACTAATTCTCCTAAAAGCGACATATTCAAAACTTTTCTTTTTTGCGAAAACTTCATAACAATTACATTTAATGTTACATAAAATTTTCAAACGAATTGAATTATTTGTAACACAAAAACTATTAATTTGTTTCAAAACAGCACCACAATGCAAACATACTAAAAAAACACAAATAAATAAAAACTTTATTAGAAAATCTCAATTTGCAATTGCATCTTTCTTTCAAATTTTCGGAGAGTTTGTGGCCCTAAAAAGGGCCGTTGGCTGATGATTTCCGCAGTTCGCTTACGGTTTCTTCTCGGTTTTCTTCGGCAGCAGCACGGCTTGAATATTTGGCAAAACACCACCTTGAGCAATGGTAACGCCAGACAGCAGCTTGTTCAGTTCTTCGTCGTTACGGATCGCCAATTGCAAATGACGTGGAATAATGCGAGTTTTCTTGTTATCTCTGGCTGCGTTACCTGCCAATTCCAGAACTTCGGCAGCCAAATATTCCATCACGGCGGCAAGGTAAACCGGTGCACCGGCACCAACACGTTCGGCGTAGTTGCCTTTTCTCAACAATCGGTGAATACGACCGACTGGAAATTGTAGACCGGCACGCGAAGAGCGAGACTTGCTCTTTCCCTTAACTTTGCCACCTTTACCTCTGCCTGACATTGTTAAGTTTGAAAATTACAAAGCGAACGAAACGTTACGATGCGTACGAGACGACGAGCGGGACTCGAATGATGTGCGCACGACGCGTCTTGAACCGACTGCGACTCGGTGAACGCGCGTGGGGACGCACGCGCACATTCGCTCCATCTCACTCATCTCTGCAGCTGCACGCTGCTAATGCACGCCGTTCGCAATGTACTTGCGCATGGGCGGTGCAATCGTCCAACTTCAGCGCAGTGAGCACAAGAGCGTACGTCGCGTCCCCGCCACGCGCGCGTTACCTCTGCGCAGTCCGCGGTCGATGAGCGTCATTCGCGTTCTAACAGTCGCAGCGTTCGCACGTAACAACATTCGCCATGCCACCGAAGACCAGCGGTAAAGCAGCCAAGAAAGCCGGCAAGGCGCAGAAGAACATCTCCAAGGGAGACAAGAAGAAGAAGCGCAAGAGGAAGGAATCTTACGCGATCTATATCTACAAGGTGTTGAAACAAGTGCACCCCGACACCGGAATTTCGAGCAAAGCGATGAGCATCATGAATTCGTTCGTGAACGACATCTTCGAGCGCATCGCTGCTGAAGCATCCAGACTGGCGCACTACAACAAACGTTCGACAATTACCAGTCGGGAAATTCAAACTGCTGTCCGACTCTTGTTGCCCGGTGAACTCGCCAAACACGCCGTCAGCGAAGGTACCAAAGCTGTCACCAAGTACACCAGCTCCAAGTAAACACACGTTTCCAGTGTTTGTTTTACCCAACGATCGGTTCTTTTCAGAACCACAATTCGCTGCAATTATTTGAAAGAAAAGTTTCTGCAATGCTAATAAAATTACTGCTTGCATTCCTCTTTTTTTTTCCCACTGAAACCCAATAAAATTATTGCATTTGTTCATATTTTGCTTTTTATTTCATTCATTTGTGTTTGTTTCGAGTACAAATCGTTGAAATATTGTTTTTTTTATATATATACAATTATTACTCAATTTTTATCATTTTTATTTACTTATTACTTAATTCAATTAATTTTGTTTCGATTAAAACTTAATGCAATATTGCTTTTTATTCAATTATTTTGTTTTCCATTACTCATTTCATTTCATTATTATTAACATTGTTTATTATTAAAATAAATAAATTGAATCATTATTTTTTACCAAATTATTTATATTAAATCAATTAATGCCTTTATAAATTACTCATTACTTGGTTCAATTTCATTTCTTTTAGTAATCGATTAAAACTTAACGAAAAATTAATTGCTTTTTCTTTTATTCAATTGTTTAGCAATTTTATTTATATTTTATTACGATTACTATTATATATCGTCATTATTTATTGTTATCAATCATACAATTATACACGTACATTACACACCTCATTTTTACGTTCATTCATTCATTCATTCATTCGCATGTCTCATTCTTTTTGCCCAAACAATTTGCTAACTTTACGTTTCATTACCAATACAATATTTACAGCATTTGCCAGTGCTGCGAGCAACGCACATTCGGTTGCCTTCTGATAATACTTTGTCTTTGTCTTTCTCACTCTCACTCACACTCACTCTCTCTCTCTCTCTCTCTTTCGCGTGTTCGTCGCTTCGCTCACACACACACACTGAGTGTGACTGCGTGAGTGTGAGTGGAAAATACCCAACAAACAAATGCATGCACACGGCACACGCTGATTTTGATGCTTCGCACATTGAGCGCGCGCGCGCGCCCACATTAATATGAATAATGAAACTAATTGCAACCGCATCATTTGTTATCAACTAATTTCATACAAATGCACACATTTCGCATCGTTTTAGACACATTTATTTGCAAAATGTTGGTAATGTGAGCGCACCAATCACGCATTCGCCGTCCACATTGTTGACGATTCGACAGCCGACTTTTGAGCGCGATTTGCGCGCAACACACGCGTCTGCCGCGCGTCAAAATCTAGCAGGCTGTGAGAGCATTCTGCGCTGAACATGATGACACATCATTTATTTAATTCGCGCGAATTTTTCGCGTTTTATCGCAATAAATGTGCGGAAATACCCATCGCCACGACCGTTTGCGCCGCTCTTTTCGCTGCTTACGCGCACAATTTTGCATCGATCGTAATTGTACGCACACTGGCGCAAAGTGCAGAAACTGCCGCACGCAATGATGTATTTGTTGTCTAATTCACACCCGCGCACAATTAGTGCAGACGCGTTAAAGGCGAAAGCGTTGGCACAAACTTGGCTCTGGTCTCGCGCACAACTGTCGCCACTCACTTCACCACGGTATGGCTGTGCAGCGGTCGCTTGCGTCGGCCGGCGGGACCAGTTTGAATTTAACGTTCGCATCGTGCACACAAGTTATACGCGCGCGCGCGAATTGTTTGTCATCGTGTTTGTTGTTACACTTGTACACACACGCACGCACGCGCACACACACACAAACACATACAATAACAAATTTTTGCCGCAATGTCTGAAGTTAGTGCGCCAGCCGCAAGTGCGGCCCCCGATGCCGCCTCACCCGCCGCCAAGAAAGCGCCGAAGAAAAGTGCGGCCGCGTCGAAAGTGCCGCGCTCGAAACCGATGCGCCCGCCAACATCCGAAATGGTGTGCAACGCAATCAAATCGTTGAAGGAGCGCGGCGGCTCGTCGCTGCAAGCCATCAAGAAGTACATTGCCGCCAACTACAAGGTCGATGCGGAGAAAGTGTCGCCATTCATTCGCAAATATCTGAAGAATGCTGTCGCGTCCGGCGTGCTGGTGCAAACGAAAGGTAAGGGAGCGAATGGTTCGTTTAAATTAGCCGCCCCCGCATCCGGTAAGGGTGCTGCCGCCTCCAGTGCCGCCTCCACCGCCGCCGCCGCCGAAGCGGGATCCAAGGCGAAGAAAGTTGTCAAACCCAGAGCGGGCGTTGCCACGAAACGACCCAAATCGCCCAAGAAAGCCGCCCCCGCTGCCGCCCCCACCGCGGCGGCAAAGAAAAGGAAAGTTGCCGCCGCCGCCGCAGGCGACAAAAAGGCAAAGTCGCCCAAGAAAGCTGCAGTCGAGAAGAAAACTGCCGGCAAAGCAGCTGCTGCCGCCGCCGCCGCCGCCAAATCTCCCAAAACGCCATCGAAAGTGAAAAAATCGACCAAGGGCGCGCCCACCAAAAAACCGAAAGCACCCAAGCCCAAGAAAACGAAACCCACCTCGCCCAGTAAAGCCGCTGCAGCGAAAAAGGCGCCCACTTCTCCCAAAAAGAAGTAATCTGCTGATGCTGCTGCTGCGTGTTGCCCAAGATGTTGTCGTCAGTAATAAATGGCCCTTTTCAGGGCCACAAATTTTTGACACAATTTGAAAGAAAAATGCAATTGCAAAATGCTGAATAAATAAACATATTTTCTGTCTTGTTTCCCATTAATTTACAGCGAAAACAATTCAAAAAAAATGCAATTTTAATTAATTATTTTGACAAATTTATTAAATTTATCGTTTTACATTCTCTTTACAAATTTTATATACAAATAAACATATTTTCTGTGTTGTTTCATTAATTTTCAGCGAATGCAATGCGAAAATGCAATTTAAATAACTACTTTGACAAATATTCATTTATTTCATTGACAAGAAATTAATTTATTATAAAATTAATATTTTTACACCTCCTTCAAAAATTTTATAAATAATTTCCAAACAAAAAAAAAAACATTGCAAATTCCAACGTTTGTTTATTATTTAAAATTTTAAAACATGTTATTTCTTGTAAATAATTTAGGAAATTATAAAAACGCACACAACACACACACATATGTTCTTTATTATTAATACAATCAATTTCTTTCAAACGATTCAGGTAATAAACAAAAACACACACATATTGTTGCTTTATTATTAATAAAAATCAATTCTTTCAAAC